TAAATAAAATTTATCATTGAAAATCTCCAACTTAACACCCACATCAAAATCTTCAGATGAATGGAATAGTCTTTGTTATATTTTTGGAAACAAGAAAGCATATATTCTATCCAATCAATGTAAAGATTTACTTATAAATCATCTTCTGATACTAAGTCACTATCTAAGCATATTCGTAGCTGTCAAAATAAAAGAACGATAATTTCCAATGCTCAAACAAGTATCAATCAGTTTTATGCGTCTCCAAAGAATAAAACACTTATTTCAGATCGAGCTTAACAGGAAATAAAAGCTATTTAACTGTTGATCATTCAAAAAAATAACAACACTGTTTGTATAAATCTTGCACAAAAATTTTATAATACTTGTAGTCTATTCTTGAATCTGTAAAACAAACATATGAAATTATATACGATGAATGTAATGGAAACATGTTCACTCTTTAATCTCATTAACTTTTACTAGTGAATTGCCTTTTTGTTTTCGTTCAATTAGATTTATTGATTGATGTAACAAAAAAATTATATTTCATGATGAGGATCTGAAAAAAGTTTCATATAAACGACTCCTATTATAAGGATCTGATCAAATAGTAGCATCTTGCAATTATGAAAATATTCAGATATAAAGAAACCTTAAAATAGCAAGTCTAATATAAAAACTGCACTATCTTTCTATCGACAATAGTATCCTTTGACAAATTGAGATGCCTTTCAACTGTGTTAAATCATTATTGAAAAAAGTCAACTGAAGTGTAGTACAATCCGAGAGTTACATGTTTTTTTCATTGTATATCTTTGCACAATGTAAGTAGTCGACTTGTTCTTTCAAGGACTGATTATTTTATTCATATATTCAGTGTTTTATACTACACAATAATTTTAATGATATCATTGTTCCTAAACTTGAATACCTTAATGAATTTATTTCTAAACAAATTATAGATAATGTACACTTTCTATTTCGACAGAGTCAACTTCTCAATTATCATCATCTTTTTTTTTCTCTTTTATGTCGAAATATACTAAAGACAAGTGTTGTGTATATTTATTCAACAAACGGTAGATATCATAAGTAAAAAAAAAGTACTTGAAAACGATAGAAGAAAAAAAGAACTGATTATCACTAATGATTTACCAACGTACATAGTCTAAAGGTTGCACGATATGACTAAATAAAAAATTCTTTAAAAGGAAGATTTATGTTTATTAAAGACGAAATAAAATATCGAATTAATATCTTTTCTTTTTTTGTTGAAAATATCTCTTGTTATATTGTTGATTATTTTCTTTTTTCATCATCATTATCTATTTCTTTTCATTTGGATGAAAAGGTAACCGTTGGTAAGTAAGCGCATCTACTCACTTGAACTGTTCCGTTATCTCGGATAAGACAATTTGTTGTCAACGTTTTTTTTTCTACTTGTTACAGATATGTCAACATCAAGAGATGAAACGGATAACAGTGTTTACCCTTTTTCCCTTGTTCTTGCTCTCTCTCTTTTCCTCTCTCTCTTATCATTTCGTATATAAAATGAGCAAAAATTTTATATATTCATTTTTGTTGACTACATTGTATGTGAGCTGGAAGATGGATTTCGCATAGCTATTTTTTAAAATGCCAGATCTATATTCTTCCAGCTCATATCAATAAGTCTATAATCATCATTATTCTCGTAAGTCTTATTGTATATGTGACGACCTTTACTTAAGCCGAGAATCAAACACAATTTAAATTCAATTAGTTTTTAATACTTTTCTTTTCTGTTGATATTCTTTTCTTTTCTTAACAAGAGAGAATACCAAAAAAAAAAAAAGAACGAATTAAATTCAGATTGAGTTTCTTTATAACGTTTTACTATGTAGTCAAATTTCGTCACATATAGATTATCAACAGCTGTAAAGTTCAGAGAGAAAAGAAAAAGCTTCCTTTTTTTTTTTTTTTCGATTACTTTTTTTTCTTATTTCGACATTCGTTTGTTATAATGAAAATCGAAAAAAAAAATACGTTATCGCCTGTGAAAAAAATCCATTTGTTATTTTTTTTTTCTTTGTTCTTCTTCTTTTTTTGCTTTCTCATGGCATATTCGACTCGACTAAGTGGAGCAGTTCGTCTCACCCTGAACATCAATAATTGGTGAGATTCAACTCCTCCACTTCTTTGTAGTCGGTGAGATGAACGAATATTTTGAGGTAAGCTATTATTTTGAATAAAAATTTTGTGATATTTTTGTATGGTTTCTATGTTTATTGAAATAAAATAAAGATAAGAAATGAAAATTTTAGGTGTTTACAATTGATGATCAATGAAGAAGAAATGATGTACGAATTTATTACTTGTATTGCATATTAATTAGAAATTTTAATAGCAACCAAAAAAAAAAATACTTTTTATGATAAGAACGAATATCATGGTTTTTGGTGGATTAAAATAGAAATTATCATGTGCTGGAAGAGAAAATTCTGATTATCTTTAGTACGTTATTTGATCATAGGACTCTGATGTTCTCACTATAAAATTTTATTTTATTTTATTTTATAGAAATTTTATTTCTTGTTAATTTAATAAATAAAATATCTTAAAGTCATAGTATCATCAAAGAAAGATTAATAAATATCATCATATATTTCTTCATCGTTAGCATGTTCAACAACTGGTGGTAAAGGAGTACTGTATGCATGTTGTCGTAAACTTGTTATTTTAGCTGGTTTCAATTCAGAATTACCATTAGATAAGCTAGAGAACAATGATTGTTGGTTTGATATTAAAGTCGAAAGTGCAAAATAATCTGAGTTTTTATTATTGACTTGAAGATTTTGATTGAACAATGGGCCATTGCAATGGGTTACGATTGATTCTTCACTATCTGATAGAGTACAAATGTTGGATTCAGAATCTTCCCCTGTTAACAAAAAGATAATTAGTTGCTAAGAAGATCTTTACACTTACATTCATCAACGAAATCTTTAATATTGGTTTTTGTAAACATTTCTAAATGATTATTTGTCAATCTTGATGTAATATATAATTTTGGAATAAATTTTTGTTTAGAATTTAAATTAGTTTTGCCTTGTTTTAATTGATGATCACGATTATTCGAATGTTTTAATGAATGAGTTTTTGAACGTAATATTCTAGTACGAGTTTCTTCTTTTTCTGGTAATATTGGTGTCCATATAGGCATTTGAAGAGGATACAATACTTTTGCATTGCATGTATTATGTTTGATTGTACCTGCACTAATAGTTTTCGAATAATTTAATGGTTTTTGATTTAATAAAAATCTGCGAGATGATTTATTTTGAGACGTAGAATGGTGAGATGAAAGAGTTGTTTGTAACTGATTTCCAAAAATATTATGAACATCTGATGATTCTTGATGAGGAGATAGATTTTCTAATTTAGAACAATGACGACGAATTAAAATTGGTGATTGTCGATCAAGATCTCGTTTTATTTTCTGTTGATAATTATTCTTTGTCGGTGACTTGTTTAATTCTGTGTATAGTAAATTTAAAGTTTTCATTGCTAATACTTTTGATCGTCGAATAGAATACTAAAATCAAATAGTTTTAGTGAATATAGTTCAATTTAATTTAATTTAATTACTTGTTGACGTTGAGTCGAATTTAACTGATTATTTGGATGCAAATAAGCAGTAACTAAGTTGTTTGTGTTAAATATCATCATTGCAAATGATTTTTATTATATTTCACACTTTCTTTTTTTTATATGTTTTCAGACGGCGTGAAATGAAAGCAGAATATATTTAAAAAAAAAAAGTAAATATGACTTTATCCTGATTTAAATTATTCATAGCAACTTGAAATGAAGGGATTCATTTCTACAATAAAATTTCATGACGCATTTTTTTTGTTTAACAATCAAGTCGATCCCCTATCCATTGAATTAAAAAAAAAAACTCTTTGAAAATGAAAAGACTAAAAGTTCTAAAGTAAGATGATAGTAATTCAAAAATTCAATACGATTTTTCATTCTCAAATATACTTACATTGTTAGATAGAATTCATTGCTGTTTTGTTTCAGATTTGGTCATAATAAACTGAAACTATGCAAGTCATTTATAAATGACTTTTCTAGATTCACTCTTTCATGCGGGAATCTACAGATTGATAATTAGTCGGTTATTAGAAAATGAAAACACATCAGTCTATCACACTCTATTTAAACTTACATAAAAATGAAGAACCGGCACATTGTACATTTTTATTTTCCGAAATTTCGTCACTAACGAATGACATTATCAATAGATCAGCTGTTCACTTTAGCTTGGATACATGCTTGAGATCACTTTGATACAAAATTAATTTCATCAATTAGTTGTCAGACAACTTTTCAATTTCATCAGATATATGCAATATATATTGTTAGTAAATATTATTCTATTTATATAATTATCTGTCTCGACCTTGAGTTTTCGTACTATGACCTCACCTTTTGCAGAGTATAATTATAGATTTAGTTCAGAAAAAAAAAACAAAAAAACACAATTAACTTATATTCACTATAAATTCACAAACATATGTATTTTGTTATTATGATAATATGTATGTACATTTATAGTATTTGTCTCAAAGGACAAATTGACCAAGCATAACTAATAACAAGTTTTTTGTTTATGGTTTTTTCATTCTCTTTCATTTTTTTTTCGATTGGCCTTGATCGTATCGTATATAAATAATGTAATAATTGTGTAAAGTAAATCTATATTTTTTTTTTCTATTATACATTTTAACAGTAAAATATGAAGAAAACATTTGATAATGATGGAAATAAATCCGAGAAACATTTAACAGTAAGTATTGTTATATTGAGTTCCATTTTTTTTTAACTTATTGTTTTCTTCTAGCAGAACTTTAGTTCTCCTACATTTGATCATTCAATTGATTTTGATTATAAACGTGATATAAAATGTCTATCGAAAATATTACAAAAATGTGATATAACTCATCCATTAGATTTAGGTTTTATTCTTCGTTTTTTATCATCATATAATTGGGAACAACGTATGATACTTGTTTATGGTCTTGAATATGAATATGATTATAAAATTATTAATATGATACTTGAACAATCTGAATCTTTTGTACGATCATGTACATTATCTATGATAATTGGACCTATTGAATTATATGTACGTGATTTTCATGATTTACTTATATTACAACAAATTGATAAAAATAATTGTAATATATTTAGAAAATTATTAGAAATTTTATTAGCATTAAATAATCATGATACACAAAAATTTAAAGAAACTTATGAAAAATTATTTAAAAATTCTGTTCAAAAAGATATTGAACTTATTCAAGAACAAAATAATATTGTATCAAAATTACTTATTCAATTACTTGAAGGAAAACGTTGTGAAGGACCTGTAAATTCAGTATCAGTTGCAAAAATAATTGCACAACAATTATATGAAGTTCGTCAAGGTACATCTGATATTGATCGTGATACATATGTACAACTATTTACACGTGATACTTTTTCACAATTAGCAGCTATATTTGATATATATGAAGATAAATATGGACAATCAATACAAGAAGCTATTGAACATCAACTTCAAAATCAAATTGAAATCAACTGTTTTCAAGACATGGTTGAATATACACGATCACCATGTGTTTATTATTCTAAAATACTTCGACAAGCATTAGATGAAACACCAATAGATTATAGAACATTAATAAGAATTATAATTGGTCATGAAAATAAAGATTTATGTGAAATTAAATTAGAATATTCAAAAATTTATGATGAAACACTTGATAAAACAATAGAACATCGTATTGATATTGCAGAAATAAAACATACATTTGTTATGATAATTACAAATGGAAAAATTTTAAAATCGCCTCGTTGTGGACGTTCTTTTTTTGATCGTAAAAATAATAGTAATCTAAGTAGTTTAAGAATAAGTCCAATAACAACGGGTGGTATAGAATTAACAAAACATCGTTCACAAGAAGCATTTGATAAACTTGCGCATATATTTAAAATAAAACATCCACATCATAATTCTTAAATAATAACAATAACTATGTTTTACATTCGAACTTTGATACGAAAAAAAAAAGTCAATTTTTATAAATATTTAAATATAAGATTCTGTATGTCTTTTTTTTTTCATCTTCACTTCTTTCTCTCACATTTATTTTCTATTAAATAAAATTTACATGTGAAATTTTATTACTGAATTAAATAAAAATATTCAATATATGAATTAGTCAAAATAAAGTAATGAAATAGATTTTTTTTATTTATGAGTAACAACGAAAAAAAAAGGTACACCCCGACATTTTTTTATTAATAAAAATTAGGAAAAAAATTGTTGTCTTTTGTTTTTTTTTTATACAACTCGACGAACTTCAAAGAATCGTTTTAAATAATATACTTGACCTAATGCCATAGCTAATAAAATAAAAGCTTCAAAACATGACCACATAACAACACGTGAATTTGTATTTTCATTAACTAGAAATATATATATATATATATTATTTTATCAATAAAAAAAAGTAAAAAAACGACTTACTAGCACGATGAATACGTTCTCTAACTTCCATAAATTCTTGTTCATGTTTTATATTACTTAATGATGCAGATAATTCAGCAACAAGTTCTTCAAGTTTATTATGATGAACTGAAATGTAAAAAAAAAATCAATAATTATTTTACAAAGTAATGTACTGCTTTTAATCTTATATTAAGTGACTCTCTAGACTACAACAACTCGGAATAGATTCGAATCTATCAATCTTTTCTATAGAGTTACTATTATTTTGAGTGTAGATGTTTATTAGACGCCTGCGAAAAGTTTGTCCTACAGAACTCTCATGTTTATCATAGAATGGATTATAAAAAAAAGATTTTCTTTAGTGTCTATAAGTAAATCGCATTATCGATGAATAATCACGTAATTCTATAAAATCTGCTAAAAGATTCGAATTATTTTTTTAGATTATTCTAGTTTAAACATCGTTTCCTTATGCTTAAAATATGAGATAATAAATTGTGAATTCTTTTAAATGATTCTCTTATTAATATAAAAAATAAAAACAAATATTTATTTACGTGTAACATTGTCTGATGTTTTACCAGATGCCATATCAAGTTTAGGTGAATCGCCAACATCCATTTCAAACATAATCATTTTTGGTGTCATTGTTGACATTCTATTACTAAAACATAATGTATAAATACCATCCATATGAGCAGAAAATGTTGTTTTTCCACTTGATTCTCGTTCACCACTATAAATTTCTTTGTGATCAGGTCCAGTTATCTAGATTGAAAAAAAAACAAAGAATAAATTTAATAATTCATATAAAAGAATATTATTTTACTTTAATATCTATATCAAGAAAGCCACCTTCGATTACTTCAAATGTAACTAATAATTTTGTTCCTGATGTTAATTTTTCAAAAAAACATTCTTCTGAATGAGCATCAACTAATACATAATAACTAAATGTACTTTTTATTGATAATAGTACAATAAATAAACAAGTGAACAGTGATGTCCAAACCATTTTTAAGTTAAAATAATAATTGAAAAATATTTTTATTAAAATGAATAATTATGATTGGGCCACTTTGTCAATCAAAATTGACTAATCATAAATTATTTATTGTCAAGTAATATAAAACATAATATCAAATTATGCAAAAATTCGAGTTAAATTTTAATAAAATAAAAAATAATGATATTCTTTAGATAAAAGTTTAAGTTGAGCTGTTTTTTTTCTTTTACTTTACTATCATTTGCTTGTTAAACTAACTAATCAAATAGCATATATGTACATGACAACTTATATTAAAGTTGATAAAATGTTTGAATTTCGAAAAACAACTAACTAGGCAATGATTTGCATATGGTATTCAAAAAACAGAAAACATTCACACTCAGAATGAATGCTAGTCAGAGTGAAAGACAAATTTTTTTTATTTACAATCTTTCACTTTTTTTTCTCTGCTAATTTTAATTTTGATGTTTTTCTTCATGCAAGCATTCTGCTTCTCTTCTTTTGAAAATGTTTCAGCAGCAGACTATTTTTAGTCGCTGATTATGTTTTATTTGTTATATTGTCCATTCAATACATAATATTTATCTGTTTCTATTTTTCTAATAGAAAAGTTTGACATATGTATCAATATTTGCTTTCGAAAACATAATGTTCATGATGACTATCATCTTTTTCAGACATCGAAAATTCGAGATTGATGAAAGATTGAAAGAAGAAATTACAAATGTGATCAAATGATTGTTTGTCACAACATAGAAATAAAGTTGATTTTAATAAAAATAACATCATCAAATAAAATGACAAAAAACAAATAGTTATAAACTCTGAAAAACATTAATAAAAAAAAAAAAAATAAAAATATAATATAAGTATAAAATATTTTAAAGATCTGTAAATGGTCAAGATATACTTGATTTCTAAAAAGACTGTTGTAGTTTGAACTCGGGATGATCATTCACAGTTTTTTTTTGTCTATTCAATTTCCTGTATTAATACAATCATAAACTAACGATAAATTATTAATTGCGTTACTGGCATCGAGAATAGAGAAAACTTTCTAATCATTCGTGCCACATTTGGTCAAACTATTATCCTCATTGTTTTGTTTTCTGAAACCAAAATCAGACGTGAAAAATAGATAATACAATTACGGAAATTAAGATTAGATTTACTGATTTTTTGATCCGTGTGGTAGGCGTTAAAGCAAGTATTCCAACAATATCATCAACATTCTATTTCTATCGGTATCATCACGACGAACGATAAAGCAACAAATCAAAACTTGACCCAATTAAACGTTTAATAAGACACTTCACTTTATTTTAATTGATCAAGTTCCAATCTATCTTCTGCAAATTATCAAGTCTATGTTACATCTTCAAATTTTCGTCATCGTTTTGCATATTTTATCTGCATTGTTTAAAAACTCTGTTTGATAATCTTCAGACATAATGTAACCATATCTAATACAACAAAATGTGTTATGTTTTCAATTTTTTTGTCAATATCGCCTACATCTGAATTTCCCTAAAATTTTTTTTTTTAGTGTAAGTTCAGTTTGATGGAACACGTATCGTAAAATTCATTTTTGAGATGTTTCTCATTTAACAGTTATTTCATTACGAACTTGTGTTATTTTAGTCAAAGATGTATTCATATATTTACTTTGCAATTGCAATAGTGGAGAATAATGTGAAATCCAAAAAACGACTTTTTGCACTTTCCTTAAAATTAGATTCTTGAAAGAAAAATCAAAATTTTCTTCTTGACACTTCGATTAGTTGAGCTGGAACTTTTCTATGGCAACTTCGATCAAATTGAAGTGTTGAATATTTTTAAATTGAAAAAATATCATACCAAAGAACTTTGGTAGATTTTACAATATTTGTATCAATTGAACATGACACAAAACTGAAGCTATTTCTGTCGGGGAGGATTTCAATATTTCGGTTCTCTTATTTCTAAAAACACAACATTTTTCGAAGAAAAAGAAAATATCTGTATTTCATTTTGGTCCGAATCGTTACGCAAAAAATTTCCGAGCAAATGGATAAATTCTACAGTAATGCTGCAAGGAGAAAACTTTAGATTTTATTTTGCCGTTATTTCTGCCATATCTCATAGAAGGAAGCATCCGAAAATTGATGAAGATAATAATCGGAACTTTTCGACAGCTACCTCTGTCATTTTAAGCTCTACTGTAGAGCAGATAACGTTACATATGGCAGCTAGAACAAAGAAGAAGCTATAAGTTCTATGGTTGCGGTTGTTGATGTAGACAGGTGACGCTTAACCGGACCCTACCGCAACCAACATTCATAGTACGCCACAATCTCCAATGAGTTGGATTTCAGATTACAGACGATCAAGAAAAGTTGATTGTCAATTTTTCCATCTCTTACCTACTTGATTACTCACTGTGCGATACAATGAGACACATGAAATATAGTTTGCATCATTATTTTTGAAAGACTTCGTGTTTGTTTCTCTTTTTCTTTTTCCGTTCTGAGTCGCCAACAATGGCAAAAAACGCTTTCTTCTAACAATAAAACCTTTTTTTTGCTATTCTTCTCCCCTCTTTTTTTTGTTGTGATGTTTATGCAATATATATTTTTTCTCTTCTACCATTCTTTCGTAATTTTCTCCCTACTCACTACAAAAACCACGCGTTTAGTAATATAAAATCGTCGTTAAAGCTGCACAATTTGCCTTCAAATAGGTGCCGATGAATGAGAGCTTCGCAGAAATTTTTTTATTTTCCAAGTTTCCTACTGATATGCTAGTATTAATATGAATAAAATCAAATAAGACACAGACAGAATCGTACACGATCGTGTGTTACAAATAATTTTCATATCATGTTCGAACGATATACTCTTTTAAAGCTTTCCTTGAACTTATTTAGATTTTTCGATGTTTATTTTTTTCTTGTTTTAGAAACACATGACATAATGAGCTTGCATGATAATAATGAGATTGGTACCGAAGTGTTAGAAGACGCTTTACTATCGCAGGAATCGACCAATGTAGCTGAATTTGAACGTAAGATCATCAATATTACTTCCTTTCAACGGACAATTATTCTCGCTATTCTTTACTAGGCAACGGCATCGTTGGAGTATTCACCGTCGACAATGAATCATTACAATTCTCTTCAACCAGTGGTATTTTATTTCTCTGCAATAGTTTGTCATTCTCTTAATACTTCATGACTCAATTATTTTTAGGACCGACTATTCCACCGCCAACCACAACCGCTGACACACGACCATCCAGATCTCCCGTTCTTCTACAACATCCCGTCAAAATTGCCTTCTCCTATCGCCAAGAAACAAATGACCGAGTCAAAGTAATTAATGAATTAGTTCATGACAAAATAACTACTCCAGACTTACCTCGACCGGTATTCTATGCACCTAAATTTCAAGCGGCTTTGGCCCTTATTGATGCAGGGAAAGTTTTGCGAAGTGTCTATGAAAGAGCGGAACTAGTCGTTGTT